CACACACACACACACACACACACACACACACACACACACACACACACACACACACACCACACCTCAATGGTCTAATGTTACATGCAAAGCCCCGAGGTCAACAATTAAATCACTGCTGTAACCTTTTCCCATTAAAAATACAGTAAAGTACTTTAAGACTTTTTTTTAACTGCACTCACTTCAATGGACACAAAATTCTTCTTTCCATGATTTCAAAGGGCTATATATTCAAAATCCTAAAGCTTTTCGTTTCTATAAACTTTGTTCTTGCCCTCTGAATAGAAATAATATCTCACCAGCAGTAGAAAACATAAAAAAAAAACTTCAGTTTGGAGAAAAACAATTAAATTGCGACCATACGAATGAGATAGAGCAAGGATAATGTAGATTGAAACAGCTCCACTCTCAAACATTTCATAGCATTTTTATGCAAACACTAAGTGTTTTCATTTTGACTGACAGTTGATTACAAGTGGTTATTTGTAGCAATGGCATCTAGCTGTAGCACTTTTAGGTGCAACCTGAGGCACATCCAGAAGGAAAATCAGAACATTTTTTGACTGTTTTGAAAAAGGTTTATAAAATAGCTTTTGCATGAGCTGCTATGAGTGGTGCAGTTGGTAGAGTTGTTATCTCTCATTGAGAAGCTCGTTGGATTTCATCCTGGCCTGGCACCTTTCTATGTGGAGTTTACATGTTCTCTTTATATACGTGTGAGTTTTCTCCAGGTCCTCGGTTTCCTCTCACAGACCAAAAACATGCATGTYCGGGTGATTGTCCCTAGGTGTGAATGCTTGTTTGTCTTGTTTGTTTCTATAYGATTCTGTGATGATCTTGCAACTTGACCAGGGATTACTTTTCTTCTCACACAAGGCGGTTTKGATTGTGAGGCTTGGCTTTGTCCGCCCCTGCTCCAGTTGGCCAGGCCTTATTATACCCCAGCCCTGGTTGTGTTTGCTTTGAGCAGAGAGGCATCTCAATGTGGGCGGGATCATAATATTAAACACGTGCAAATATTGTTTTCTTTTTTCTGCGATGCAACAATTATGGGCTGCAAACTGAAAGGAAAAGTACAGAAGATTGAACCGGACCATCCAGCTATGCAGAGGGTAGGACGATGGAGAATGGTWGCTAATGTTAGCTTGTTGTTGTTTGGTAGCTCGYTACTGTTAAGCTAGTTAAGCTCAGGGCGGCTGTGGCGGAG